GGTCGCCATAGCGTGTGACTCACTTCGCGCCCGCCTTCTTGTTTCTTGAATACAATTCTGGCTTCATGCTTTCCACTCAATTTTGATCTCTAAAATTTTAAATGCAATATCAATTGCTACCTACAGTATTCATTACTCTTCTATTCTTCTTGTCCCCTAATCATTATCTTGTGTCTTCTTAATTTCTGTTCACTTATGGTTCTTGCTCCTTAATAATGTTTTTTTTTTATATTCTTTTACTCAGTAACCCCCTCCCCCGCATGTTTGTGGCTTTGTTGCCTTGCTTGGGTGAAATGATTAATATAAAAGTCTCTTCTTCATCTGTATAGCAAAAGACTATTGTGCATTGCTATATCAGAGATTAGGTACTATATAGCAGTCCATCTGTATTTTCTTTGTTTTTAAGGATATTTTCCTTTATTTTAATATGTTGTTTAGTTTCTGGAAGAGATCTTTTGCTATTGCTATGTTCCTTCAGATTGTGGTGTCATATTTTACATCATCATACTTATTATAAAACCCAGGTTGTGTGTGTGTGTGTCTGTACGTTTATATATTGGATCGGATTTCCTACATTTTTCAACCGATTTCAATAAAACTTCACAGGACTACGTAAAATTACCTTGCGGTGGTTCTGACAGTGCCAAAAATTGGAAAAACAAATTGTTTTTGCACGAAATCAATTTGAAAACACGATTAAGAGGCATCGCGTGAATGAAAGGGGGACAACTCATATCGAGTTATACTTATTATAAAACCCAGGTTGTTTGTGTTTGTGTGTGTGTGTGTGTGTGTTCGTTTATATATGAGATCGGATTTCCTACATTTTTCCTCCTATTTCAACAAAACTTCACTTTTTTTTTTGGCCGGTAGTGTTTTTATTGTCTTGCACACTTTTTTCTTTATTTTTACATTCAGATTGCTTTAAAAATTCCATTTACAAGACAATTGTTTATTATAAAATTCTATTCAATCGACTCATAACGATTGAAAACAATGTTTTTGTTTGAGTTTGGGTTTGACCAATTCGTAAAAAAAAACAAAAAAACGAAAAAAAAATTAATTAAGACATGCGTGTCCGTCAACCTTAAACAATAATCTTTGTCAATTTTATTTTTCAGTCTTTATGATGGTCGATACTTGATCTATCTCTTACTGTTATGTCGCCGGGCAGAATTGACCTCACTTTTATCCGCTACACACACAAGCACGTGACATTCTCCCTATCAGAAAAGCAGTTCACATGGACAGCTCGTCAATACATACGCCAATTAAAATTTTGTTTCTTTTTCCTTTTTCAGGCCATAATACTAATATTTATCTTTTAGCATTCAACAAAAATTTGAGATAAGAAAACTCCAGATACTGTATTTTCTAACCAAATTCACTGGACACTCATGACACAAATCTCTCTCTCTCTCTCTCTCTCTCTCTCTATATATATATATATATAAAAAAAAAAAAAACGAAAAAAAAAAAAAAACATGCTTATTCTTTATCATATCATTTTGTTGGATTCCGATCCATATTTGATCGGCATTTGACCCTCAAACTCACAATTTTACTCAGCATTACAGTCCCTTGTTTCTTTCACACCACATAACAACAAGATAATAATACTAATTTTTGTTGTTTCCATGTTTTGCTGTTTCTCATTTTTATGAGTATTCTTGTATATATAAATGTTAGGTGATTTATAATTATTTAAACTTATAACTTCCCTACACCCCATACTAAAGACAAGGACAATCCTACTGTATTCACTGCACTGCCCGACCCCTTACCAGCCTCAATATAAACCCAGGAAAAGAGGGCTTTGTGGTTAGTTCTCTCTACTCTTTTTGCCGGAAAGCAATACAAACTGGTCCACTACACTCCACCAAAGACTAATCAGGACAACTGCCTGCTACAAAGTAGGTGTCTCGCTCTCTGATCAAACATACTACAAACTTTGATATTTGATCGGCATTTGACCCTCAAACTCACAATTTTACTCAGCATTACAGTCTCTCATTTCTCCAACACCACATAACAACCAAATAATAAATAATATTCATTTTTGTTGTTATCATGTCTTGCTGTTTCTTATTTTTATGAGTATTATTGTATATATAATTATTTACTCAGTGTTATAACTCCTCTACACGCCATACTAAAGAGAAGGACAATCCTACTGTACTCACTGCACTGCCTGACCACTTACCAACTTCAATATAAACCCAGGAAAAGTGGGCTTTGAGGCTAGTTCTCTCTACCCATTTTTGCCAGAAAGCAATACAAACTGGTCCAAATTGTATATATAAAAGTTAGGGGGTTTATAATTATTTACTCAGTGTTATAACTCCGCTACACACTCCACAATTTGGGGTATTATGTTTTTATATTTTCTTATAGCTAAGTCCTTTCCTCATACTTTCCTTAACCATATTGCTTTTTCAGTTTCTCATTTTGCCATCAACATTGAGCTATTCATATATCCTCTCGTTGAATTTTCAAAATATGTCATTTGCTTTTAGTTTTCACTTAATTCAATGATAGTTTTTTGTATGATATTGATTATACAATGATTTTTTTGATTAATCAGATTGTAATATTTGGCTACTCTTTTTGTGTATTTTACAACAGCTGGCACATTTTGTTATTGAGACATTATTTTCTTTAAATCACAACAGTTTTGATAGTGATCTGGATTTTCTTTCAGATCTCCATGTATTTTTTGCGTGTGCTTGTGTTTATATGCATGTGTGTGCATGTACCTGTGCCTGTGTGTGATCATGATCATGATGGAAACCGAGGATAGACTCATTT